GCCAGGCTCAATCAGGTCAGAGAAATCTAGCCATACCCTGTCAGGTCTTTTTCTTTTAACAAGAATCTGATCAGTCCTTCTTAAACTTCACCTTCTGAAAAGAGAACTTTCCCTCTGGTGAGTTACCCAAGGTCATACTGAGTCAAAGAGCAAGCCAGAAATAAAACTCTGATCAGGGGCTCCCAAGTTGGTGCTTGATCTTCTTGTTAAAGGAATAAAGAAGAAGAAATGGGTGCCTTGCTGATGCACTGAGAATGTTAATCAAATGTGGACTGGGAAGGCACTTGCACTTCTGCAAGTTATCTGGGAGATACTGAAGCATAACGAGCCCATCAGGAGAAGGTATTTCTCAAAATGGACAGAAAAACAAAAGAAGTGCAATCTGGATTTGTAATTAATATCACAAAATGATTTGTGTTAAAATGTTATCAGTCTCCATAAGTTTATTGACAATTGAATTATGCCCTAACATATGGCCCATTCTTGAAAATGATCCTTATGTCCTTGAGAAAAATGTATATGCTGTACTTTTGGGGTAGAATGTTCTGTACATGTCTAGTAAATAAATCTGATCTATCTCATCATTTAAAAAAAAAAAACTGAATTGTGACTCTCCTAACCGTGTTACCATCGTGAGGTTGGGTAGGTACATGCCCGAGTCAGCTTACTGGATGACTTCTTGGTAGGGGGCATAGGAAAGATAAGGAGCTGCAGAAAACACAACTGTCTTTGGGATAACTCTATGTTCCTATCTCATGAAATGCCACTTAAAAGATGAATAAGACCAACACATAATTCTTAGGTACAGAGCCATACAGTGAGAAAGTTCAAATGAAAGCTCAGCTCTTAGCCTGCAGTGCTGAAGAATGAAGGTCAAGTAGTTAGCTGAGAAAATGGATTACATAATCTTATAGCAGGAGACGTACACCAGTTGTAGCAAGGAGTTTACTGGCTGCATAGTAACAATAACCAAGACATCTTCTCACCGGGGATGGATTAGGCACAATACAGGAAGGAGGAGAGGATGAGAAGACTATATGAGCTCCCAAACCACCTTCCAGCCCGGAGTCTCTGAAAACAAGAGAAGTAGGCTGCCTCTGACAAAAAGAAACGCTTAAGGGATAAACTTGAACATCTTTCCTAGATATTCAGGACTCACCCCTCGTATCTATTACTCATAGTGACCAAGCCCCACCCCCCCCAAATAATCACATACTTCATATTTCTTTGAAATGTTCATTTCTTCCATTGGTGCTGCCCCAAGCAAAACCATAAGATTATTCATCAGCAGTGAGGCAGGGCAGCTTGTCTCACCAAACCTCTTCCTGCATGTGGTACAAGGGGATAAAAGTAAGTAAAATCCTTTGATCAATTTCTAAGCAAAAATAATTTTTGACAGAGCTTTGTTCTTTCTTTCTCTGCTATTTTTTATAAACTTTTATGTTCTTTATGTACAGTAACGCACTGTGTGGCGTTTCGGTCAGTGATGGGCTACGTACCCGACAGTGGTCCCCAGAGGCCTAGTGACGTCACAGCGGTAGGAACGTGAAGGTTCCAGCAATTTACTCCAGCAGCCGCCTCATTCATCTCAAGTTTATTGCATCTTTTGATGGCATCGTTTTCCTTATGCTTGATTTAACCTTGTGTTATTTCTGTGCACAATTCACTGCTAATATTGCCTTTGCACAGGACCGCCCAAGGATGTACATCTTGGGTTGTATCCCTTTGACGAAGCCATGCATGACTGTACAAAGACAGGATCTTAAATTTCATCTGGAAATGGGCCATCTCTTTGTTTTAAAGCAAAATAAAATGTTTATTTAAAAAATTAACCAAATATCCTTCCTCAAGGAGAGAAGACAATCTAGGATCAACTAGGGCTATTACAAGATTGTTTCTTGTATTGTTCCTGATGACCTGAGAGGTAACCACCAATATCTGAACACCTGTAAACAATATTTGTAAATATATCACATTTCTACATCATCGATCAAAGCTCAGTTGAATTTTCATCAGACTGGACTGGGGAATGATTTTAATGAACAGAAAAATTGATTTGTTTCCACAGGTAAGCCTTGATCATCCCTCATTTCTCTCAGGTCTAAAATTAGAGATCTTTTGATACCTTCCCCTTTTTGCTCATAGAAGCTTAGAGATTAAATGAAATGCCTTAAGTTGCCTCAAAAGCAATTACTATAGACATAGCGGGAGTGGCTGGGGCTAAATGGGCTGCAGGAGGCCTGCTGCTTGGGTGAATGCAAACACACCCTCCAGAACTTCTCCCTGAGAGGAAAGGACACTGGAGGCAGTGGGCCTTGATCTGCTTGGGAATTTTCAACAGCACAGAGTAGATGACTTTCCCCACAGGCTATTTGATGATTCCAACTGAGAAGGAGACTTCTTTTTGTACATGTAGGTTATATGAGTTATAGGCAACAAACTCATTGAGAGTCTATGACATTTGAGTTGAAAAGTCAGGTTTAAGTTATGCAAAGTGGAGATGAGACACAGAAACCATAGAAACAAATACATGGCACACACAGATGACCAAGATGGGCTGTGGAAAGCTTTAATCACCACATGTAAAAACAATATGCTCGTATATCAAAAATGGCCCCAAATTCTTTATCAGCATCACCATAACAGTCTAGATATAAAGTGTTGCACTGATACAAAATCTTCCTGTTCATAACCACAAGATTTATGAAACAGTTTCTTATAAACATTTTTTTTTTTAACCCTGAGGTGGATATCACCAAAGTTAAAAAAAAAAAAAAAGTACTTATCTGCTGGACTTACTCAGTGTAGGGTTTTTTAAAACTATTCATTCATCTGCAGTGCCTTTTCTTCATTCTGCCCACCGATACTATGTGATGGCAATGGTTGTGTCCGATCTTATTATAAACTGATTAGGATTTGCAATTCAATCTACTGATCCAAAGAAATAAAATTTTAACATCAATTAACTCTACGCTATCACATTTAGAAAATTTATCAAAATCAGCTCTTTGTTATAAAAGGGGAGTTGGCAATACATTCCTAGACAAGAGTAACAGTAACAGTTTGGTTCTTACAAACTCTACTCACTACACAGGAATCAACTAGCTAAGTTGAGGATTCCCACAAATTGCTGCGTAAGTATGAATGCTGGGTTCTCAGTCACCTGGAGATAAGACCTGTACACACCTAAGAGAAAATAATCCTCAAGGGAAACAACATTATTCCATTCGAGTGATGATAGAAACAATCATATTAATTTAGAAAAGCGATAGCGAAGTTGAAGTGGAGACTATTTTAACTTTTTTTTTTTTTGGTATCACAACAAAAAGATTTTCAAAATCTGAACTCCTACCATATCAACATTGTTTTTTGTGAACATCTAGTGCAATGGTGGCCTACCCTCGTGGCTTCAATTATTTCCCTAATGAACTCTGCAAACTTCTAAAATGTATTCTTTCTAAATTTTCACAGCACTTCATCTAAACCACTGTTTGCGCACACTGGAATCAGGAAATCTTTATTGTTGCTGGGTTCCTAGGTATGTCCATTCGATTTCCTGTGTATGACTTAATTCCGACTGCACAATTACATGAATGGTGGGCCATAATAAAACTCTGGGCATATATGGCAGTTAAAGAATTACCATTCCTACGCTTGCTCCATAATCTTTATTTTTGTTATTTCTAGATATCTTCCAAATGCAAATGATTGAACAATACAACACAGGCATAAACATTTACTTTCTGGAGTTTTCTTGAGAAGTTAAATTATGTTCATTACCTCTCAGTCAAAAGTTGGTAAGGATAATGGGGAGATGATTTAGTATTAGATTGAGTTAGAAAAAGGTTAGACTAAGTCAGAAAAAAGCCATCTTGGAAAGTTTTGATGAAAGTGTTCTTTTTTTTTTTTTCAGGTAAAATCATGGAATATTAAGGTTGGAAAAACTTTCAATAATCATATGGCCAGATGTCCCATCTGATACCTGATTCCTGTGTAACATCTCTGCCACGTGGCTCTCAGCCACTGCTAAACTATGTTTAGGGACAGGAAGCTGTTCCAACATTAGTTATTCCACCTTAGCACAGATAACAAAACAGATGGAACAGGTAAACAAGCTTCCATTAAACATGGTTATGAATCATATTTAACTTCTCAAGAAAGCTAGCTGATTGTCAATTGCTACTCAAAAGAACAAACCAGATTTGTTCCTAGCATCCTTTGTTTTCTATAATGACTCAAAATGGGAAGACACAAGTTAGAAATGTGAATTTCATAAATTATTGCTGATAGCAGTGTGTGTGGTGGGAGAGCAGATAAAAAGAATTTAGAAGTAATCATTGCAGGGACTCCAGATCACAGGAAAAATACACATTTTCAATAATAAAATAAAAATTTCACTTTGAAGCTGCAGTAAACCCTTTGTCTAGCAAGTCCTGGTACAAGAATTCAAGAGCCCCAGAGGACGAGCTGTAGGCTGAGTACCAGACGCAGCATTTGTCAATTAGACGTAGGAGACAGAGAGAGAATGCTAAGAGGAGGCTGAGACAGCAGCAGAGTCCCAAGGCAACAGGAAGCAGGTGCCCTGCCTTGAGTTTCCCTGCTGGCTTGTCTGGCAGCACTGCCAGTACTTTCCTTACTCCTGACTTCTCCCAGGGTACTGAGCACTGCAGCAGGCTCTAAACCCCCTTCAAAGCAACACATGGATTCCGCAGACATATCAGAATTCAATGTATCAAGGACCAATTCCTTGAAGGGACACGTTTAGGTGAATATTTTTATTTTTTGAACAGATAGATGGATGTCTATTTGAACTAAGGAAGTTTATCCTGATAACACACATGTAAATTTCAAGGACTGTGACTGACCATGTTAAGTGAGACTAGGCTGATTCCATTTCAAGTGGTATCTTTCACCCCATGTGTTAAAAAGACAATGGCACCATTCTTTAACAAAAAAGACTGTAGCAGACAAAAACAAAACAACAGCACAACCAACCTTAAAGTCAGTATGTCTTTTCATATGGAGGCCACTTTTTCTCATATCTGGTTCATAGGATCAGATAATTAACATGTAGTGGCTAGATGACAGGAGAACAAATCTTCCTGTTGAAAAGGAATAAAACTTCTTGACCACTGAGATTTGGAAGTGCGATCAGTGAAAGTCGATTAAGTATTCAGGATAGATTTGGTTGGCATCAAACACCACAAAAATCTTCGGATTCCAGGTGTCATCCACACAGCTGTCGTATAGATTCACATAGCTCCCATCTTTGGAAGGAGGACGCATGTATTTGGAGTCTCCATTTATGTAATCTCCAATTAGCACTCGAGCAAGAAACATAGACTTATATGTTCTAAACAGATGCCGCTGTTGCAAGCTTACACCATGAATTTGGAATGTGTTTCCATGCTTTATATCATCTTTGCAGAAGCGACTGGAATAAGCAGCATCTCTAGCAAAATAGGTTCCTTAAATAAAAAGGACAAAAAAAAAAAAAGACAAGAGCCAAGATTACTCTGAAGAATATGTGAAACATAGGCAAGAACACTGTAATTGTTAAAGGAATCGACTCATCGTCTCATGGAATTGTGTAACAAAAATAGATGTGGAATCTCCTCTTGGGTAACCTTTATGCAACAAATCCATCTGTTATGGACAGCTGGGAGTAGACTGTCATGGGGACGGATGCACCAGTACAGACCAGCCCACCACCACCACTATCCCCCAGGCCCACCGAAACGTAGCTACCAGACTTCTGTTTTCAAAAGAAATCCTACTAAAATATCCAGTAAGACATACACACTGTTTCCTTCTACCACTTTGTTCACCCCCTACCCTTGTCCAGCACCTACAGATGTTCAGGAGAGCACAGTGAAAACTACTGACCCCCAGAAACCACATTTCTGTGCTACAGAGGGACAATTCAATGGTATGTCTAGAGATAATAGAAGCCCACATCCAGGAAAAAGATTTCTGAAAAGAATGCAATGGTATTCATATGTAAGCCTTCCAAAAAAAACAGTCTCACTGTTTCGTTACCTGATAGGAAACCCCAAAAGGCATCTGACTCTTCTGAAATGGCAGGCCTAGGAAACTGACATCATTCAGGGAATATTTGAAAAAATCTGGAAATGAACTGCAAAGCTTCGTATTGCCCAGTACAGATGAGATTTATGTAACACTTTTCCGGTCCTCTTAGCATTAAGTAAATGGAATGGCCCTTTCAGTAATTATTTTTAAAAATTAACTTACTTTTTTAAAAATGCAGCACATCCTGACCCTGAGTGGAAGCCACTTCTCTTGCGGGAGGTTAGATTCAGAGTAAAGACTAGAAAAACAAATGCTTCCCCTCATCTCTCCTTAATTTATTTGAATAGTGGGAATAAGTTTGAGAACATGGACTTTTCCAACATTAGAAATGTCCCAACATTAGAAAAAAGGTGACGATTTCCCTCATTATTCCTTATTGCTCACTAATAGTCCTGCCTATCATTTTCTAACAAACAAAGCAAGACAAATAATAACAGCACCTAGATCTGTACCTATCCTCATGTTTAGGTTTGTCCATGGAGAGGACTTGTACATGGAAATTAAAGGTAATGCAAAAATCAGCTTATCTGCACACATTGTCCCAGCTGATGACTGGGACTTGGGAAGTTATTAAATCTGGTAAAAGAGTAGAAGTCTCCTCTCTCCTGCCGCCCGCTGCTCCCCTCAGCAGTGTGCTTCGGTCCTTCTGCCTGCTCTGCTCCCTGCTCTGGCTCTGGTGAATTCTCTCACCCTCCTGCGCTTCTGACTGTACCCAGTGCATGTATAAACAAAACAAACAAACAAATAAATAAATAAATAAAACATGCCTCTATTTAAAAAAAAAAAAAAAAAAAAAAGAGTAGAAGTCTGACTTCCATCTTGCACATGCAGGAAGTGGTTTTTCTGTGACGGAGAAACTTGGAGGGTGTGCCAGGAACCTAGTACAGTAAACTTTAACGACTATCAAATTGCTGAAGTACTGAACAATCAACATATTCTAAAGAGAGGAGATTGTCTCCTACAACCAACATTGGAAATGAAATTCTGATAATTACCTTTCCCAAAGAGAGCACCATGTATACCATTTATTCTCCAGTCAAAGTTATGAATGCAAATGGCTTCCACAAATTCGCTGCTGGTACCATGAAAGAGCATTTGCTCGTTAATCTGAGGCACACCTCTTTTTTTCTTGAGCTGAGCCTTTTTCCTAAAAACATAATACCGAGACACACACAACACACAGAGAAATATACCATATGCAGCATTTATTAATTTTTTAAGGAGCAATGTCAACAGGAAGGGTAAAACAGAAAAATGTCTTTAACATAAAATCTTAAGTTTTAATCTTAAAATAGGGCAGCTCTGGAAAAGAAATAATCTCCAATGTGCATATTAATTAACACTGAGATTTAAAGCTGGAAATTATACCAAAAACTATATGTACCCCAGACTGTTCCCCATCATAGTAAAGGTAACTGACTGCCTGAACCAGCCAAGCTTTACAGATGCCTCAATGTGACACTACAAATAACTCAATAGTACAAATCCAGGAGTCTTTAGACAGCGAATTCCTTGAAGAGGGATAATGTCTTCATCTTTTAGCCCTAGAGACTAGAAAATGGTGGTTTAATTAAACTGAATTTTGAATCTCAGGGCTAAAGGGATATGAAGTCATCCTGTTCAATCTGTTTCCCAATGGAAAACTACCTCTTGACACACAAAAAGATATTCAACATAGGACTGATTATCATAGCAAAGCAAATAAACTGAAATGGCCTAAAATGCTTCCGTAGATAAAAATCAAGTAGTAAGTACATGTTTATATATGATATTTTAAAGTAATGTACTAGATCTATACATACTTAGAGAAAACTCTTAAAAATAATGTTGACTGTAAAAAGAATGTTGCAAAAAGAGACATCTAAGTCCAAATAATACTGCGCATTCTGTGTATATACATTACAGGCAGTAAAACTACAAAAACAAGGACAAGAAGGCATCATGCACCCTCAGTAGGAAAGGAGAACAGGACTGGGATGGGGCAAACACATTTGCAAGATGGCGAAATGTATTTGTGATCAGTCTTGCAAGGTCTTCCTGATTCCTGATGCATTCACACAACAATTATTTTTAGAAAATATAGCCACCGGGCCTCCCCTGGTGGCGCAGCAGTTGAGCGCTGGGTTGCGAAGCTGCCCGCAGCCTCTGCAGCGCCAGTTTGATCCCTGGCTGCTCCCCGGCCACCGGACGAGGGTGCCACATGGCATGCAGACCTCTCCTGCCGCCCGCTGCTCCCCTCAGCAGTGTACTTCGGTCTTCTGCCTGCTCTGCTCCCTGCTCTGGCTCTGGTGAATTCTCTCACCCTCCTGCGCTTCTGACTATACCCAGTGCTTATATAAATAAATAAATAAATCTTTTAAAAAAGAAAATATAGCCACCCCCATACTAAACCAAATACTAAACCAATACTAAACCAAATACACAATACCCAAACACCCAATACCCAATACTAAACCAAAAATGCCCAATACTAAACCAAAATCTGCCTTCTGTTACTTCTACTGACTGGTCTCAATTATTCCTTCTGAACACAAAGCAATTCAAAGCACTCCTATACAAGACAACTCTGCAAATATCCAAAAATAACTATGAACACCAACCAGGCTGCCTTGTCTAGGTTAAGTACACACCACTCCATCAACAATTCCTCACAGCTTCCAGACCTTTCTCCCTCCTGGACAGGCTGTCACTGACAAGAATCTGCAGAATACTGTCAAGTGTATAAATGACGGAGGAAGAGAAATGTTTTTGAGAGCACTGGCTCCAGCCTCGGCCCCTTCGTACACCAGAGGCATCATACTACTGACTTCCACGAGTCAATTAAAGCTCCCAGGACTTTACACCAGACCTCTTGGGTTTGCTGTATTTGTGCAACTAACTTACAAATCCAACACAGTGGATTTATTTCAATTAATCTTCATCTTGACAGAGTAATTTTAAATGTATAAAATTTATAAACATGCAGCTTAGTGAGTACACAGGCCATGGATACTTGCATTTAAATAATGTGAGAGATAGAAATGTCTGTGGCATTTCTCAAGAGTCACTGGAAATATGCACCAAAATTTATATGTGCATGCTTTGATCTAAGGGTGATAGTCTTCAGACATTAAGCATGACGTTGGAAGGATGTGTATTAAACAAATATTTACTTCAAACGAAGTAAGCATGTTTTCGCTAAGAGTAAATTATATCAACTTCCTTTTTACAATTTTATGATCTGCCTTTTTCTTACAAGGCACATTTGTTGCTTATCTAACTAAGAAAAACATTTTTCAAAAAGAATAATTATATTTGTTTTGACTCAATTTCAGTCATCCAAGGTCTTCCTGACTCCTGATTCATTCACACCAAGAGCTACTTTTGAATCTTTTACAAGTGTGATAAGAAAGCCTTGTACATTTTCTTCCACGTTCCTGATAATGTTGAAGGGCTCAAAAAGCAAGCTTGCATGCCATTCAAGGTACTCTCTGCATAAGACTTTAACCTGGTATCCATGCCTCTATCTTGTCTCTATCACAGAAACCTTTCTCAAGCACATTTTAAGAATCAAGTTACACTGTCTATGGGGCTCCCCCATCTCCCATTATGGTGACTGATAGTGAGCTGGGCATTGGTGAACCCACACTGTTTTTTTCCTGAGTAAACGTTTGCTTAACACACATCCTCCCAAGGTCAAGCTCCAGGACATGTAATGACTAGAATATACTCTAAAATGTGGATCTTTACTCATCACTAATTTTAAGTACAGATCAGAATAACTTTTGGTATGAAAATTCACTCAAGTCTCTTGGATTTTATAAAGGAACTGCAGGTAAAAAAGCCAATGTGGGCACTGAACACCTGCTGGTAACTGGAGTGGATGCACATGCGTACATGACGGGAGAGCAGGATGGGTGGTGAAAGCTTTACATCCCACAGCCTGGTTCATTCTGGTGCTTACTAGTTAGGCCTCCTGAAATGTGGAGACTTACAAACCACAGAGTTGGTGTTCCAGAAAAGCTAACATGGAGTTCTAAGGCCTCTTGCACTTAACCTTTGGGGAAGGTCATAGAATTCCAACTACACTAAGTTCTCACAGCCCTGCCCACTTTTGCCCAACCCCATGTTCATATCTAAACTTACTGTAACACCCACTTTTCAAAAATACCTTAAACTACCTACCCTCTCAGGGAGGAGAGTGCTAATGTGGCCATGCAGTGACCTCAGCACTCAGAGCTGCAGTAGAAGAGACCCTGCGCCCTGGCTGAAGTGCTTGCCCAGCTGTAGGCCCAGGGCTCTCTCCCTGACTAAGCATCAGAATCAACTGCAGAAATTTTCAAAGATAAGATTCCTTTGGCATCTGTGACTCTACATTCTATTTGTTTTCTTCTACATTCTTACTTATTACTTTCTCAGTTTCCTCCTGGGTTTTTTCCCCTTCTGTCCGTCCCTTCTGGAGTTGGGTTCTTTGCCCTCTTCTTAATCTACACACACTCTCGGGTCATCTGATCAATTGCTATTCCAATTCTAACAACTCCAAAACCTTTATCTTTAGTCTACACCAGCTTCCTGAGTTCCCAAGCCACATATCAATGACTACTCTCCCCCATTCTCCCTAGAGGCAAAAACAAATACCTGTCCCTACCCATACACCCCTGGCCAATTAAAACAAACAAGTAAGTAACTTCATTGTCATCTTTCGTCTCCCTTCCCTGCCCCAAACATCAAACAACATGGTTGCATATCCTTAATATCTCAAAACTGTTCTCTTCAAACTAAATAATTGTTACTAAGGATGGAAGGCATGGAGTGGGTGAAATGAGTGAAGATGGGCAAAGGGCACAAACTTCCAGTTATAAAATCAGTGAGTCATGAAGATGTAACATAATGCATGGGGACTACAGTTAACAGTAGGGTATTATATATTTCAAAGTGGCTAAGAGAGTAGACTGTGAAAAGGAAAAGATTGTACTTATGTGTGGTGATAGAATTTAACCAGACTTACTGTGGGGATCATTTCTGAATATATGCAAATATTGAATCACTATGCTATGCAATCTGAAATTAATATAAAGCATTATGTCAATTACAGCTCAATAAAAAAAAATACATGAATATAAAACAATCCTCTTTGTTCCAAAACACCAAAATGCACATTGGTTTAGGTAACCTATTGTGTCTCATTTAATTACTGAAACAATTTCCTAAACTGGTCTCCTGCTTCTGTGATCCTTTTAAAACAGAGTTAGTTTCTCAACCATGATACTATTGATATTTTGGACTGGATAATTCCTTGCTGTGGGGGGTGTCTTGTGCATTTAAAAATGTTTAGGGTCTCTGGTCCCTACCATCTACCCAGTAGATGCAAGTAGTGTCCCCATCTCACCACATGACTATCAAAAATGACTCCAACAGGCATATGAAAAAATGTTCAACATCACTTGCCATCAGGGAAATGCAAATCAAAACTACCATGAGATACCATCTTACACCAGTGAGAATGGCACATATTAAAAAAACTAGCAACAACAAATGCTGGCGAGGGTGTGGAGAAAAAGGAACTCTTCTGCACTGTTGGTGGGAGTGCAAACTGGTCCAACCACTGTGGAGAGCTGTGTGGAGATTTCTGGACCTACTAAACATAGAGCTTCCATATGATCCAGCAATTCCACTCCTAGGTATTTACCCAAAGGACACAGAAACATCAACTCCAAAGAACACCTGCACCCCTATGTTTATAGCAGCACTGTTTACAATAGCTAAGCTTTGGAAACAACCCAAATGCCCAAAAATAGATGACTGGATCAAGAAGATGTGGTACATATATACCATGGAATATTACTCAGCATTCAAAAAAGATAAACACATGCAATTTGCAGCAACATGGATGGCGCTGGAAGGGATCATGCTCAGCGAAATAAGCCAAAAAGAAAAAGAAAAATACCGGATGGTCTCACTCATAGCAGGAATCTAGAAAACTTAAATAAGGGACCAGGAAAATGAATAACTATAAGAAAGTGAAAATCAAAATCAACAAAAAACTATGAACCAGAGACACTTTTAGGGGGGCGGGGGCGGGAGGGGAGGGATTGGGGTCAGAATGGGGGGCTGCAATTGTATGGGGAATATAACAATAAAATTTAAAAAAAAAAAAATAAATAAAAAATAAAAAAAAAAAAAAAAAAAAAAAAAAAAAAAAAAAAAAAAAATTTAAAAAAAAAAAAAAAAAAAAAAAATGACTCCAGTCATCACCAAATGCTCCGTGCTGGGCAAATTCCCTCCTGATTGAGAGCTACTGCTTTTGACCCTTCCTCTACAGTATTGCCTGATGAATTATTTTTCTAAAATGCAAATCAGACCCACCACTCTGTGTAAAGTCCTACAAGACGTTCTACTGTCCCGGGAAAAAAATACAAACCCCTAAGTTTGGTCCGTAAGGCCCTGCATGGTCTGGGCCCTGGCACCTCTCTGACTCCTACTCTGGATCAGTTCAACCCAAGTAAGACACTGACTAAGATCACATGACCACCCCTTACTTTAAACTCCTTCATGTTTTACCTCTTGACTACCTTCCCAGCCTCTTCTCTCACCAATTATCCTAACTTTCTATTCTATTTGAAATTCTCTCAACACTCTACACTCCCCTTTGTATCCAGACTCTGGCCTGGGCTGCTCTTAAAGCTTGGGGTGTGCTTCCCACCTCTTCCTGCATCTAGCTTAAATGGCAACCACTTAGAAAGTGCTCCTGCACGTCCCCCACTCTGCAACATGTCCTCCTTCTGCCAGCAGGAACGCATGGATACCCTCACTTAATGTTCTCATGATGCCTTGCACTCACCCCTATGTTTTGTGGCACAGTGGCCTGGATCTTTGTCTAAGCTAGGACCCTGTACTCTCTTATATCCCAACACCCAGAATAGTGCCTGTCACAAATGGAGTACTAAAACAATTGCTAAAAAGAAGGGAGAGAAGAAAGGCATGGGTGACATGCGAACAGATGCCTGATGAGCTCACAGGGGCCTCAGTGTCTATGTGGTGAGTCACAGGTATGTGACACGACAGATTAGGTTATTTTAGTTTTCAGGGAGATGTCAAAATGACAGGCTGTCCATACAGCACAGTATTTTCTACTGTCATAGAAGGTAGCAAGTTCATTTACCATCACAGATTTCCAGGGCCTGGCTGACATTACATAAAAGCATGAAGGGCATTGCCAGAGGAAAATTGTTTCCAGTGAAATTCATAGTATAAAATGGTTTGGGGATTCACTGGCACATTTTTACCACTGGATTTAAATGAGGGCTAAATGAAGACTCAAATTATAAGGGAGACCAATATGAACTACACTTCAGAGCCTGATTAAGAATAATAAATGGAGAGCATGGGGCATCCAGTGTGGGCTGAAGGGAGGGTAGGGGAAAGGAGGGAGAAAAAAGAATAATAAATCAAGTTTTACTCTAGCCATTTTAGAAAAATTTACTTTATTCACTGAGAAAATAAAATCAAAGCAGGGTAGGCTTCCATCTTTTCTATAACAGCATCATCTAAACAAGAACTGAATGAAGCTTTCTAAACTCCAACTCAGTTATTGTCAGAAATAAAAGCTGATTTGGTCCAAAGGTTCAACATTACAAAGAATACAAGCTAAAAACTTCTTATTTTACCATGAACTATTATGAAAATATTAGGCCATATTATCAAAAATAAAAATAAAACACAAAATTCAGTCTAATTTTCAAGTATATGAGAACATAAAGAGTTAAGGATACTGGGATTTGCTTTAAAATATTTCAGCAGCAACAATATTAACAAAAAAGGAGCTATATTTCATGTGGTAAATCTTGATAAATGTTAATCAGGAGGATCAGTACATGGTGGTTCATTCTATTAGACTATTATTTGAAACATTGCTGAATAAATATTAACATTGTTTACACTTAAAAAATCAGAAATCAATTCTCATACACACGCTTAATAAACATATTTCAGAAAAACCACTGTTTTAAGTAGTACTTATAAAAAAAAAAAGAGCCTTGTTGGTTAATTTGGGTAATACCTTAAGTTGTCTGGCCTTTACTTTTAGGTTAAATGTGCTAATCTGTCTTTTCCGACCTAAACTGAGTAAGGACTTGAGATTTTTAAATCTACAAAATAAACTTTGGACTCAGCAGGAAATTTCAGGGTATGTTTTAAAGAGTCTTCCAAAACAAAACAAGCAAACCAAATGACTACAGACAAGAGAAGTGTCATCACTGTTTAAAAATTTTTGAAAAGTTTCATGATGTTTACAGAGACTTCTTATTCAACATGAAAGTCTGAATCAACAAAGTCATATTCACAAAACTGAACAGCTCCCCAAATTCCCTTGTAATGCAAATTCCAGCCACAATGCAAACCTTGAAAGGAGGGAGCTGCTAGCAATGGGAAGAGAGTATGACCTCTAACAAGACATCACGGTGCTGGAAGGACAGCTGGCATTAACTTATTAGAGCAGCTCTTTGAACTCCCTGAGAATGCTGAGGAGAGAGCTGAGAGACTGGGTCAAAATATGGCAAGAGAAGACCGGGGGACTCAACTCCGTTCTTGTGGTGACACTGGAAAGCAATACAATGAAACATTTGTGTTTAACTATCTGTAAGACTATAGAGAAGTCTTAGAGGCCAAGGAGAGGGTTCAGATTAGAAACTGTCTCACCTGCAAAAGAACTCCCACAAGTCTAGGTTTTGAATTCTCTGAATTCTTTTAATTCTGTTGCGATCCATTGTTTTCCCAAAGAGACTAGCAACTTCATTATATTCATGTGTTTGATGGTGCAAAGGAATAAGCTGGAAAAAGAAGTTGGCATAGTTTGATTGGGGTCCTTTCCAACCTCTCATACAGTATAGTCAGTTCTGCTCTTACCTGGTAGGGTACTTCAGTATTCACGTTCTCCCAGTGCGGTGGCATGGGGATAGCCTCATTTTCACAGATGTAACTTTAAATAGCAAAAGATAAAACAAAATATTAGCAGCTGATTGTCGTTAACTGTTGTTAATTATTGTTAATGATTTAACCTTTTCTCCAAAGCTGAATTTTCATGTCTGAGGTGTTGTGACAAATGCAAGCAAGGGTAGCATGTCTTTATTTTCAAATATTTATAAATGTTTACTGTGTGCCACTGTGTAGTGATACGTTGAGAATTTTCACAGAAAACATCACCCTGACATAAAACTGAGACTTCAAAAGAGTTGTTTATTCTGTCTTGTTTTTCTAAAACAAGCATTTTGTGAAAATGTAGGTAAGATTTTAGGTGAGGTAAAGGAATTTCCAAGAAGAAAATCAAACTAGTTTAAAGGAACCTTGTTAACAGATCCACAATGCCTCGTAAGTCAAATCCAAACCCCTTGGTCATATATTCAATATCTTTCAAGATCTAACCTCAATCTAAACCTTTCTCAATTTATTGCCCACTATTTTCCTACACAGTCCACATTAATTCAATTAGTACAGTTAGTGAAATTTTTAAAAACACTCTATCATGTTTAAGTGAAGAAACACAGAAAAAGATGGTGATGGTGAGGGGCTTAATGGTAAAAGGCTGAAACTGACACGTGGAGTTCGCTAGTAACTGGAGGTTATTGAAGAACTTCGTAAACCTCAAGTCTGTCTTTAGTTTAAAACTCACTTCCATTTTGATTTAAAATTTGTTAAGTAGAAAGAAGCAACTAATGAATAATTTTCCTCCCATTCCAGTCATTGGTCTGTCCAATTCTCATCTGCTCCAGTTCCAAGTAAACATTTTTAATCTCTTGGGTATAATTCCAGAACTTCTTTAAGTTAACACAAGACAGATGTCCCCCCATACAAATGACAGTATAAACAGCATGTCCTTTGCAGCTGTTTCTTTTTTTTTTTTCACTTCTGTATCAGTAAAGAGAGAATATGCACATTCTCTAATCCTACAACAGAGCCTGACACATGGCAGACAATAAATACTGTTTGAATCAATGACTTCATTCTATCTGACAGATGCAAAGAATTCCATCACTGATAACAAGTCCCCTATTGATGATCTTTAGCTTGTGTTCAATGTTTTGCTACTGTTAAGAATACTGCAAAAACTAGATTTGTCTATTTGTCATTTTCACGTCTACTAGTCAGTCTGTAGGATAGCAACTTTGAAATGGAATTTCTGGATCAAAGACTAGATTTATTCATGATTTGGACAGAAACCCCCCAAATACTCCTTAAGTTTGTACTTATTGAAATTCCTACCAAAGATAGAGAATCCCTATCTCCCAAACCCCTCTCCAAAAAAATGCGTTTTCAAACATTTGAATTTTTGTCAGTCTGATAGTAAAAATAATCTGGTATAATTTGTATCTCTTTTATCATGAGTGAGATTTATGACCTATTCAAATTCTTTGCTCATTTTTCTAATGAGCAGACCAATACTGGTTTTCTATTTACAGAAGTCGATTCTTACACTTAGAATCTACTTAGCGATTACAAGAAGTACTTCATACACCACAGAGATTAACTCTTTGTCTATGATAGTAAGTAGCAATAGTTTTCCTAGCTTTTTTTTAAACTTTGCCTTAGTTTTCATTTTGGTATGCTAAAGTGCTTTTTTTACTTTTAACATAACCCTTAGCTTTAATTAATTTTAAGTTTCTTGCCAACAAGAAGCATGTAATATTCACCTTACATGTCATAAATGCTGAATTTACCTAAAATAAATAAACATTTCTATATCAACACCTACTCACCTTCATTACTCTACTGCCTCCTACCTAACTGTTCTTCCTCTTTCATTATCTTGCTTATTGTCCTCCATTCTGGTTAATTCTCTCTCTCCTGTCTGTTCTATGGTTTGTACAGTCTGTGACAGAACAAAGCACTTGATCCCATCGTGTGCTTCCTGCCCCACCAAAGTTATCGAATATAATAACATACAATTACAATAATAACATTTCCCATTATTATGTCTCATTTTTCTCAAGATTACATTCTCTTTGAAGATAAGTAGCTCCTCTTTCACATTCTTTGTAATTAAGAATGAGGATATTTTTTTAACTGGTAAGGAAATAATATTCTCTATATTCCGTAGAATATACTATGTCTTAACTGTACTTGAATAGCTTTTAAATCATGATGCTTAAGTATAAGTCAAAAGTCTTATGAAACAAACTCACAGAAACTTCAAACACTTCCTCCTTCAAACACTTCCTCCTGTTCAAAATATCTCCTTGGGAGGAGCAAATGGGATATTCCCTATAATTCATAAGCCAGGATGTTTTTATCAGGCTCATTTTAACTTCTTTGAACAGGAGGAATTTCAATACTTGGCTTGATGAATCATTCCAGAAAATAGGTTGTAACACTCTAAAATTTTTTACCTTCAATTCCATTCACTTGAATAGCAAATATCCTCTGGTGACACGTATATCTCTCTTTTCTGGCTATACTTAGTCAGAGGTAGCAAAAGGGGAAACTTGCGACCAAGATGTGGGGAACAGGTAGCTGTGCTGTTGTCCCCTCTACTCCTATCTTCGTTGGGCCTCCTCTAGTCACTACAACTTGAAAGTACTTCTAGGAGTTGCCTGATGGGGAGCAGAGGAGGTGGAGACAGATTGGACAACTAACTAGATTTATGGCCCAAGTGACCAGATGGTTCTCTGAGAGTATTTCCAAGTTAATTCAAACTTACCCTTGTAGGTTATTTTAAGGATTTATAGCAAAGACCATAAGATATTTTGTAACGACCATGCCAAGTGTTCTAAAGAACTGAAAAATCAATGCCAGGGGAAATGAAAAGGACAACAGGTAAGGAAACACTGGCAAAAAAATACCAATATGGTTATTTCAGGAACAAATAAGAAATTCAGTAATGAAAAGATCAACATTGGGATCATTAAATAACCTATGCAAACCATCTTTGGTCTCTTTGTTTCTCTGTCCAATATTAAGAGGGAGAGGCAAACCCCATTCTTTTTAGCCCAATTCTCTTTACAATACCTGAAAGCACTGATAGAAAAGGGGGCTCTTTTTATTAAGCGCTGTTTGCCAGTGGTGAGATTCATTTGCTTCATTTCTGTGTACAAAGACAAAGATAGTAGATAAGTCACAGAAACAGATTGTGCTATACATTTTCGCAAAGGTTTGAAGCCATACCCCTTGATGACCAAGAATCATGGAGCTTTGGGAGCAGCTAACAAGAAAAGCAGATTAAGGCTACCTTCCCGTGTATCTATTTATCATGTTCAAAAAATGCTATTGAGAACCACGGCTTCGTCACGTGATCTAAGCTCACACACACAGGCCGCTCAGCGCACCCACCCTTCCTGTCTGCATCGCACATGGGCTAAACTGACATGGAAACCAAGTTCTAAACTTCGGGAAATCAAGAGCACTAGAAAAAGGAAGAAATGCTAGCATTTATTCAGTGGGAAAAAAAATGTACTCTGATTTCTCCATACCTTTTGGAAATGACAAATATGTTACATTGCCACTATAAAACTTGTATAATTCACAGAATTTCACAAATTTATGCATTTTTTGCCTTCTCTTTCAGTTGTACACCTAAACTAGAAAACCTATCTACACTCGGTATTTACTTCTGTAAGCTAGTCTAGTGACAAAAGACTAATTAACTAAAGGTATCATTTTCTTTTATCTATGTCTTGGTTTTGGCAATATTTACCAGGTTCATTTCTCCATTCCCACAGAGTTAAGTAGTAAGTTTTCATGTGAGATTCTAGTCAATTTATCCTGTCTAATGGCTTCATTCCATTCCAAAATAAAGGGGTTCATTCACCCCGGCAAAAGCTACTGTGTGTTCTGTTGTGTTCTAGACTCTGCATGCACTGGCATTACCAAGAGTGCAGGGAGAAAGCAAGAGCATCTCAGCACATGGAGAGAAAGCTGTGGTGCCTTCTACTAACACCATCTCATTGGAAGTTCATGGTGAAGTTCATGGTTCCCCATTCTTAGCTGGGGCTCCTTTTGCAAATAGTCCAGGTGCAATGCTAATACCCATGCCTTTGAAACTGTATCCTTATAAGGAGGACCCAGGAACATGAGTGAATGCAGGGTACCCTATTTTTCAATAAAGGTATCTTTTAATAAATTGCGTTGTCTGAGAGGTAGCTCTCAAAACCTGCAGTACTAGAAAATACTCATTCAGAAACATTTAGCATGCCGAGTTATCTAGCCAAGGATAACAACCGCCGTCCTCTGTAGGAAGCTGGTCTGTGCAAATTGGGATGCTTCAGTAGTGCCTCAGCAATGGTGCTGTAAGACTGTTTTCGGGGCTCATTTCTATAGGTTGTTACTAGAAATGTCACCGTGCACAAGACTAGATGTCCACAGACACCTTCTGTCTAGACTGCAGCAGAGACAAATGCCAGGGAGCCCTTACAGGCAAACTTTTGACTAACATAATTTTTTTTTTAAGGTATAGTTAGTCAGGAGTAAGAATCTAATGTTTTAACTCTTAATAATAAATCAACCCAGACTTTGTGGCAACAAAAATCATTGGATTTTTTGGGCTCAGTAACCTCTTAACTGGACAAATCCTCTTTCCCATTTCTGGGCCTTGGTCCAGCCAAGGCAATTTCCTCAGGTTCCAACACCCTCCCACACCACAAGACACTACTGACTGTTACAAAGACACCGCTCAGAGAAATAGGGGAAGAAAAAGGAGAGGACTGAATTGTGAAGCAACCGAAATGCACTTTTATGAAGAAAGTTTCCCCATTCATGTCTCATTCGCCTCTTAGCAGCAAACAGCTGAAACCAGTAGGTTGAAAGTAAATCCAATGGGTTTTTTGTGAGATACCTAAAAACATACCCACGTATAATGGGTGAAATCCAAAATGGGGTAATTTCCAGACTAGATGGCTAATATATGGAAGCCAATGAAATCAGAAAATGGCAGAAGTTAATGTCCATTAAAGAAATAGTTTTCTTACAAAGACACCTAAGAGATGGGTTACTCAGTTCAACATTGGTTTTAAAACTATCACCAGTTATCTATGACTTTGTCACTTAATTTCTCAGGCTGATCCTTAAGATAAAAAGGTTTCCTCATATTCTGAAAGGCTGATGGGACGATGAACAAAGCAACAGCCAGCAAGTGCTTGTGTTCCTCAGAAGAGGAATGTTACACGAACTCATATGACAATCTCCACACACATTAGTATTTAAAAGTATGTAGATACACTTTTATAATAGGCAAGGCTGCTCAAGAAGACTTTGAATCTTGAATTTTTGTGGCGGTGTTTTTGTGTATCACAAAAAGGATTTATTTCCCTGCTTACAAATATAATCTACTAATCCTGATCTTCAGAACTGTAGATCTTATCATGCCAATATACTAAAGACACACAGCTATTAGGGAAAAAAAACATACCTGCAAAGTCTATCTTGTAGCTGAATTTGGAAGTAGTAAAAGAAATGGAGCCACAAGGGTTTGTTTTGAAGCTTTTTTCGATATCTTCACTGCTAACTGAACACAGAATGTTGGTGTCCGGCTTTAAGACAAACCAGAAAGTTTCGTTTACCAGTTGTTCACATTAACGGCTTGGCCACAGAGGTCATACTGTGGTCACAGAGACAGAGAACGGAAGGACAAGGGAAACAAATCATCTGCTCTAGTTCCTAACAAACAGGGAGAATCACAGCTGAGCCAGCGTGTGGAAAATGGCTTAAGGATTTCCAGCAAAGAAACGTCAACAACTGGTTATAATCCGTTTTTCCAAATTATAACAATTTTTACAAATGACTACAACAATTATACCTCCTAAGTGGCTTATATTAAATCTTCTTTATGTAGCCTTGTAATTTAAAAAAAGACCACAAGCTTTTGCATATGGGTTCAAATCTTGGTTTACCCATTTACTAGCTGTGCGACTCTGGACAAATTAGGGTAACTTCTCTGAGTTTCACTTTCTTTCACTGTAAGACAGAGTGCTAATGTTGCTTCAGAGTTGTTGTGAGGATAAGGAGTAAATAATCTGTATAAGGCCTAATCTAATACCTGGCTTACAGAAAGCATTTAATATGAGCTTGTTCTCTTTCCTTTCTCTTTGTTCACCAAATCAGACCTGGAGTTGCTCAGAGGTACTGATAACATGCAACTCGCGTCCCAGTCACCCTCTGCACACACTGTAAATACAGGCTGCCTCTGCTAAATAAATTATTGTGAAAACCTGAGGAGAAGAAAAGGAAAAGGACTAGAAGAAATTTCTAACTTTCCTTTTCATGAAGCTATCTGATTTCCTTCAAGTTTTATTTCTTCCAGCTTCTGCACTCACATTCTTCAAAGCCATCAGCAAGATGGTGTTTGGTGAATCTAAATCCCCACTGCCATGTTCAAGGAAAAGAGGTACCTGAAACATGTGCCACTTTCCACATTCTGCCAAGTAAAACCAGCCCCACTGGGTATCTGATGTGTCCATATCATCCATCTCCCTATCTGCTGTTTTGGGTAAGAATTCTTCTGCTTTATGAAACATCTCCTGAAAAGCCAGAAAGAGGTAAAGGGAGAAATAAGTAAGTAGCATACTTTTTAGACACCATTTTCCTTCTTACAAACAACTGTATTGCAAGGGCCTTTCCCACAGTGATACTTCCAAAATTAGCACTTATCTTGAGTATCGGCTCTGAAGATACACATTTTAAAATGTCAAACATCACTGCTCAACAAATAAGACAAATAATAACACACTTTGCCAGGATCAATCAGTGGCCACAACCATAGGTAAGCTAGGTGAACACCTTTAAGTACTGGGGCTTTTCATTACAGTGCCACAAAATTTTCGTCTTATATATACATGCATTTGGTCAACAAGATCATGCCATCACAACTAGATTAGACCAAATATACTTCATTTTTGTTTTAAACATTTTTTCACTTCATGGCATGAAAAGATGTTTACAATACATGATGTTGGGTAGAAAGGGTTATAAAAGTCAGACATAGTATAATCACATAGTATAAGCACACACAGAATAAGTCTTCAGGATAAACAACTACTTGTCACAGTTTTTTTCTGAATGTTGGGATGACGGAAATAGTAGTAATAATAACCCTCTGAGGCTCTTACTATGTGCCAAGTGCTGTTGTAAGTACTGTACAGATAAGTCATTTAGGCCTCACAATAACCCTATAAGACAGGTACTGTATTATCCCAAACTTACAAATGAGAAAAACACGGCACAGAGAAAATACACAATTGGGAAGGCAGGACTCAAATCCAGGCAGTCTGAATCCAAAGTCTGTCCCATGGTATAATGGCCTATATACTTCATCATCAATGATTTTATGCTTTTGACTATATCAAGTAACTCACTTATTTTTGAAAAGGCTTTAGCATTCATGGGTACAGATTATCATGGAAAGGAGGTCACCAGAAAAGGGGCAAAAAGAGGTAAGTCAAAGATTACGTTTTAACCAGAATGAGCTTCATTCTACAAGGACTTTTTAAATTATTAATTAAATTTACACACCTAATATATGAAAACATTCTCCTTGCCAAAAATCAGAACATTCAAGATAAAGCTACTGACTTTATTGCGTACTTCCATTCCTGGTACTTTTTCACCCCTCCTTCTCCAGGTTGACCAACCATCAACCTATTGTGTCAGACTTTTCTGTGTGTGTCTGTGTGTTTAATCATATACACATCTACAGACACATATGATTGTTTGTTTAAAATTTGATTTTCTGTATCTCTGACTTTCTTATAAAGAATAGTTTGACTTGGGTAATTTAGAAAACGTTACCTTTCTATTTCATTATTTAAAATGTCCATTCCTATTTTTAGAAGCTGTATAACCTGGCATAAGTTCCCATTACCATGTCTAGGTCACAGTTTTCTCTTCATAAAGTGGAGATTATAAGCTCCTGCCTTATTGGATTGTTGCTAGAAATGAATGAGACATTGTGGGGCCTCCCTGGTGGCTCAAGGGGTTAAGACACAACCTATGGGGGCCTCCCCGGTGGCGCAGTGGTTGAGCGCTGGGTTGCGAACTGCCCGCAGCCTCTACAGTGCTGGTTCAATTCCCGGCTGCTCCCCGGCCACCGGAGGAGGGTCCCGCATGGTGCGCAGACCACTCCTGCCGCCCGCTGCTCCCCTCAGCAGTGTACTTCGGTCCTTCTGCCTGCTCTGCTCCCCGCTCTGGCTCTGGTGAATTCTCTCACCCTCCCACGCTTCTGACTGTACCCAGTGCTGGTATAAATAAATAAATATTTATTTAAAAAAAAAAAAAAAAAAAGACACAACCTATGAAGCTCACTGCAGCCACTTCAGCACAAGTTTGATCCCTGGCCAGGGAGGTGACCCACATGGCTCAGCAGACCTCTCCTGACTCACCCGCTGCTCCCCTCAGGAGTGTATTTCAGTCAATCTGCCTCTTCTATTCCCCCCACTCTGTCTCTGGTGAATCCCCTCACTCCCCAAAACTCTGGCCTGTACCCCGGTTCTTGTATGTATAAATAAATCTTTTAAAAAAAATAAAGAAGAGACAGCGTGGTAAAATACCAAGTACTGTACCTGAGTTCAGTGAAGGGGGCTTGTTATTTTCTATTATGTTTGGGAACTCTCTCCAAGGAATGCTTTGTGATTATTTTCTGGATTTGTCCTTCATGTTTTAGTGTTGATTGGCTGCTAAGAAATGAAAAATAGATCAGCCTAGGGTGAAGAGCTTCACTTTTAGGGACTACTATTTAACTTATATATTTTAACCACATAATAAAGGCAACAATTTAAACTTCAGACCAGTTGTACAGGCTAATTATGCACAGCTCCTGCTCCTTCTATTATTCTTCACATAAAAAAGAAAACAAGAATGACCTAAATCTAGTTTTTCTTATAAAAATAACCAGATGATTTGGAAGGATGGATTTGAAGCTATTAAGATAAATATTAGCCAAATGAGTTCTGTCTTTTCTCTAGTAGAAAAGGGAATGGGAAATAGAAAAGTGTCTTTTAGGGCCTCCCTGATGGCGCAGTGGTTGAGCGCTGGGCTGCGAAGCTGCCCGCAGAGCGGTTCAATCCCCGGCCACCGGCAAGGGTCCCACATGGCACACAGACCTCTCCTGTAGTGCCTGCTGCTCCCCTCAGCAGTGTGTTTCATCAGTCTGCCTGTTCTGTTCCCTGTGCTGGCTCTGATAAATTCTCTCACCCTCCAGGCTTCTGAATGTACCCAGTGCTTGTATAATTTTTTTTAAAGTGTCTTTTACACACATGTGCTTTGCTACATCACCCTCTCCCTAACATGACACTGGAAGCAAGTTCACAGATGACACTGTTCACAAAGTTCTTGCAGAAATTCTTATCATAAATAGCTTTGGGTGGGACCCAGACAGGTTTGTCTTAAATCCCTCCCTACTTTACAGAGGTCTGCACTATAGACAGGTTCCACTAGCGAACATTCCTAAAGCACTTCAAAATTTATACACTTTTTTATTTATTTATATTTTACAACATTTTTCATTTTTGTGCAATGTATGCATATATATTTTCTCCTTTCAGGTGTAGATCCCATAAAATTCCCAACCATAGTCCCGTGCACCATCACCATAGTCCCTTGTGCTCTTCTCTCCCCTGTTTTGATCCCTCTTCCTCCCCATCCCTTGCAGAATGTCTCTGATTTACAGTTGCCAGCTAATTTTGTTTATTATTATTATAATTATTATTATTACTGTAAAAACTTTTTCAACTTGTACCGTTTTTTTTTTCTTCCACAACCCAATGTGCCATTAGGTGGGGGAAGCAGCAGAAAAATACAATTACTTTGTCTACAATTATCAAGCCAGCAGTACAAAGAAGATTAAAAACACCCCAGGCAATGGCATCAGTCCTTCCCTAAGCCGCCGACCCCCACTGCCTCATTTTCATATACAAGACAGTTGTTCATTCTCTCCTGTTCCCAGAGCTTACTTTAATTGCTTTGCTTCACAGATGCCATGGATTTCTTTCCAAGATTCACTTCATAAGACTAAATTTTACAGTTTTATCTCATAAGTTTCCCTCCAAGAGAATAGTTATTCTGTATCTTTAGGCTCAAAGAGTAAGTCAAGTTTAAATTAATAACTGAAATTTTTCAGTTTCTTTTTTTGGTAATTGTAGTAATAATAACTCTAGGTTAGGACACATCAATAAGCAAACAAGAGGAAGGTATGTGAGTTGTCTGTCATGGATTAAGCAATTAATAAATGTTAGCTGAATGGATTAGTTCAGCCACAATGCCACACTCTGCCTTGATCTTCGTTTTTAACTGGCAGGTAATAACATTTCCTGCAAATCAAGCTGTGAAGAACAAAAGCTTATATCAAGTAGCAGAGCATTTCATAAATTTTCAAGTGCAATGGCATGAATTCTGAGTGGAATTTGTCTGTAATGCTATGTATTCCGAAGACAATCTTTACGGAATCTGAGAAGAGTTGAAAGTCTAAATTATGGTCTCTATGAGGGAAATAATGCCATTTTCCAGGCTAGTCAAAAGCTTTCTGATAAGTATATTCTAATACCAAATATAATTTATTTTGCTAGTAATAGAGAATCCTTGAGGAAATCATATTTGGTGATGAAAACTTTCTCTCTCATAGAAAAGAAATGTAAAATCTGATATTAAAAACTTAAAAACAGCAGAACTTTTGGAATGACAGAGTAAGGAACTCAGTGGACCCTCTCCCATCAAACCCATATTTAACTGGTGAGCATTATTATTATTTTTTAAATCATTTAAAGTCTCTGGAAATTTTCCTAAGGGCACACAGTTCTGTTTATGGACAATCTACCTCTGGTGTGTAGTGAAGAGACAGGGGCTCCTTCTCCCTTCAGCTCCCAGTCTGGGGTGAGTTTCACCCTAGAAGAGAAAGACTGATGGTGCTTCTCATTCCAGAGGTGCAGAAGCTCTAGTCTGGCAACACAGAGAAAGGCTCTCCTTTCGCTGACCCGATTCCCACTCATTGGATGGGAGCTCTAGTCCACGCCTAACAAGCTAAGAATGCTGGGCCCTCTTCACTACCATCCCAGTTTGCTTAGAGTAAATGCTCCACTCCTAGAAAAGCAGACCAGGGCTTGTCACCACCACTCCTCCCCCATGCCTACCCAAACAGTGGAGTGTCACTCTGGGGAAAAAGAACTCCCTATCTCAGCTCCAGTGGGACAGGGGTCTACCCAGGGGAAAGCCACACCATAAAGAGAAAGAAGACTCACTATTTGGAACAGGGAGTAAAGAACCCCATGACTAAGGGCATTATTGAACATCCCATAAATCTTAATGAAAAACAGTGAAGGTGTGGTGGAAGCTCTGACACATGTAGAATGACAGAACAGGCAGAAGTACAGAGAACCAGGGATAATCAAGAAAAGCCCTCCTGGAATTACAGTCAACCCAAGGACTCAGGGAGGTTGTGTACAAGTATTATGCTATATCTGTCCAAGAATAATCAGAGGAGGTTTTGAGGGGCCTTGAAAATACTCCCTAATCTGCACACAGATCCATCAAAACAAGATGGAAAAGCCTCATGGGCATAAGAGGCCTAAACACAACCCTTACCAAACATTGACTGAACCAGAGGCTACTCTTACCAAGAGCAGGGGCAACCGCTATGAAGCCAGACTTAGTGGCACAGTCATTCTTGGTAGTAGGGAAGGCTGTGTGCAAGACCAAGGTTAAGCCTCCATAGGAATTATCCAGGAGAGATTTTCTAAACTACTAGTACTTGGTTAAATGCAGGGGGGGAAAAAAAAGTAAAACTCCCTGAGCTGGAAGAGCAGCTTCCAAGCCACCACACACATCAAACACTTAAAGGTAAAAATCTACACTTGATCTTAGCCAAAAGGCCAAGAAGTGATAAGGTAAAAATCTAACTGGCTAAAGGGATACAAGTACAACCTTTGATAAGTGGTCTATCCCAAACCAGAAATGATGCCTAACTAGTCAAACTAAGAGACAAAAATAAGGGATGAGAGGGGGATGAGAGAGAGGAACATCAGAAGGACACAGTAAAGAAAATAGATTTTGTAGAACTAGTTTAGCTACATCACTAAACAGATGAGCAAATGACCAAAGAAACAAAAATGTAATGGGGATTGGTATGCAGAGTTGCACAAATAAATTATGTAAGATGTAAATAAATTATGTAAAATATTGTTTTAAAAATAATTACGAGACCAAAAAAAGGAAAATGTGCCTGATACAGAGAAAAAACTGCCTTCAGAAGAGGTCCAGGTTGTGGACACAGCAGACAAAGATTTCAGATTAAATACATATTCCAAGAACTACATGAAACCACGACTAAAGGATTAAGGAAGTCAGGATGACAATGCATTATCAAATAGAGAATAGAGAAATAAAAATTATTAATATGAACCAAAATGGAAATTCTGAAGCTGAAAAGTACATTAACCAAAATGAAAAACTCAAGAGGCCCAATATAGTAGATTTGAGCTTACAGAAGAAAAATCAACAAGTTTGGAAATAGATGGAGAAGTTCATTTATGAGGCTGATATTACCCTGATACATTGCCAGTAAAAGAGATCGCAAGAGAAGAAAACTAGAGACCATTATGAATCTTTATGAATATAGGGAGGAAATGTCTTCTACGAAATATTGGCAAACTGAATTCAAGAACATATAAAAGTATATACCATGACCAAATGGGATTTTTTCCCAGGAATGGAAGGTTGCCTGAGCATATAAAAAATTGATTAATGTAACATAACACATTAATAGTACATTTTAGTACATAGAAAAAGAACCTGACAAAATCCAGTATCATTTTATGATAAAATGGTCAGCAATTAGAATGGAAGGGAACTTTCTCAAGCTGATAAAGAAAATCTACAAACATCCCACAGTTATCATAGTTACTGTTGAAAGATTTAATGTTTTGTGGGAACAAAAGGAGGGTGCCTGCTTTCACTACTTTTATTTAACATTGTACCAGAGGTTCTAGCCAGGGCAATTATCCAAGAACAAGAAATGAAATGCATCCAGATTGGAAAGGAAGGAACAAAACTCTATTCACAGATAACAAGATTTTGTATAGAAAATTCTAAGGAATTCACAAAAGATTAGGATAAATGAGTTCAGCAACTTTCCAAGATAAAAGATCAAAATACCAAACTCAATTCTATTTCCATATATTAGAATGAACATTCTAAAACTAAAAATTCAGGAAACGACATCATGTAAAATAACACTAAAAAGAATGAGATGTAATTTTAACAAAAGATGTGCAAGATACGTATAATGAAAACTCCTTAACATAGTTGAAAGAAATGAAAGAAATTCTAAGTAAATTTTTTAAATCCCACATTCTGGCTCATAAGACTTATTTAAGATGGCAATATGTCACACAATGACCTACACATTCAATACAATCCCTTTCAGAATCTGTTGACCTTTTTGCAGAAATTGATAAGATAGTCTTAAAATTCATATGGAAATACAAAGTCTCAGAGTAGACAAGCCATTCTGAAAAAGAACAACACTGGAGAATTTGCACTTTCTGACTTCAACATAATTCAAAAGTACAGTAAACAGAAAGGGTGGAACGGGCATGAGTATAGATATAGATCAATGGAACAGAACGAAGCATGCAGGAATAAACCCTTACATTTATGGTTAATTGCTTTTCAACAAAGGTGACAAAATGATTCAATGGAAAAAAGAACTGTCTTTTCAACAAATAGTTTTAGGGCAACCTGGTATCCCCATGCAAACGAAGGAAAATGCTCTCCTACCTCACATCATACACATAACTAAAATGGTTCATAGTCCTAAATGTGAGGGCTAAAATGATAAAACTCTAAGACAACAACATAGGAATAAATCTTTGTGATCTTGGGTTAAGCGGTGATTTCTTGGAAACAAAAGAGAAAATGGATAAATTAGACTACATAAAAAAAAATTATGCTGCATTTGATACCTCAAGAAAGTTAAAAGACACTTTTGAAAAGTAAATTGAAGACAACCTACCACAAAGGAGAGAGAATAATTGTAAATTATATATATATATATATATATATATATATATATATGCAGGGCTTGTATCCAGAAAACATAAAGAACGCTGAAATCTCAATAAAAATGAACAAATGACCCAATGGAAAATGGACAAAGCATTTGAATAGACAAATCACAAATGGCTAATAAACACATGGGAAGAAGCTCAGTATCATTAGTCATCAGACTATAAACCAAAACCACAATGAGATATCATTCCTTTATATTACATTATATTAATTATATTACAAGGAGCTGATGTTTCTTCTTCATTTGTCATTCTTATATGCAGTCTAGGAGAGTTGTAGTTCCATAATCTCACAAAGACTTGGTTTGATTAGTTTTTACTTTCAGCCAATCCAGTAGATGGATGTACATGGTCTCTCACTCTAGTTTTAATTTGCACTTCCATACTGAATAGTAACATTGAGCATCTTTTCATGTCCTTACATTCCATCTACTTGTCTTCTTCAGTGCAGTAGCTACTCAAATCTCTAGCTCAAATTTTATTGAGTTGTTTCATTTTTATTTAATGGTTTGAGAGTTCTTAATATATTCTGGGTATCCGTCCATTACCAGATACATATTTTACAAAAAATTTCCCCAGTCTGAGGCTGATTTTTTCATTCTCCTAACAGTATGTTTTGAACAGTGTAAGTTTTTAATTTTGATGAGGTTTACCAATTTTTCTTTTATAGATTATGGTTTTGGACATATATCTAAGAAATCTTTGCCTGACCAATGTTACACAGATATTTCTCCTGTTTTCTCTTAGAAAATTAGTTCTCTTCTAGAAATTATTAGAAGTTAAAATTGCAATTAGATCTATGATCCATTTTTCATTAGCTTTTATATGTGATGGCAGTGTATGAACTGAAGTTCGTTTTTGTGTGTACAGATGGATATTCAATTGCTCCAATACTATTTTTGGATACAACTATCCTTTCTCCACCAAATCTTACCTTTATAAAAAATCTTACCTTTACAATAATAATAATCATTATTTGTCTTGATGCTAACACCACCCTGTTTTGATTACTGCAATGTCATACTGAATCTTTAAATTAGGTAATGTCAGCTCTCCAAATTTTTCTTTCCAGAATTGCTTTGGCTATCTAGGTCCTTTAAATTTTTGTTAGGATTGCATAGTGAGTGATCCATCTAGTGAGAATTGGCATCTTAACAACACTGAGTGTTCTCATCCGTGAATGAGGTAAATCCCTTGACTTACTTAGACTTCAAATTTTTCCATAATGTTTTATACTTTTCAGGGCACAGACCTTGCAGATCATTATGCAAGGTTCATGATGAAGTATTTTATATTTTTATACTACTGTAAATGGTATAAAAGACATTTTAAATTTCAACTTATGATGGTATATTGCTAGTTCAGAGACACATTGATTTTTGTATATGGTTTCCATCTACCCAACAATGCTCATTTTTTAGTTCTTGATCTTTGGACACCCCACCAGAATTTTTATATGCATCTGTCTACAAACACACACACACTTTACCTCTAGCATCTAGATGCTTGTTATTTCTTGTTCTCATCTGGTTGCACTAGTTATATCTCCAGTACAAGAGTGCATAAAGAGTGGGCATCATTTCTTTATTCCTGATCGTAGGAAAAAGGTACAGTCTTTCACCATTAAGTTTGATATTATATGTGATATATGAATATGTATGTATGTAT